CTTTCATCAGCATCTTACTGTTTTTGGAGTACAGGTCTTTTGCCTCCTTAGGTAGGTTTATTCCTAGGTATTTTATTCTTTTTCATGCAATGGTAAATGGGATTGTTTCCTTAGTTTCTCTTTCTGATCTTTCATTGTTAGTGCATAGGAATGCAACCTAATTTTGTATCCTGCAACTTGACCGAATTCATTGATGAGCTCTAGTAGTTTTTCTGGTGGTGTCATTAGGATTTTCTATGTATAGTGTCATGTGATCTGCAAACAGTGACAGTTTTACTTCCCCTTTTCCAATGTGGATTCCTTTTATTTCTTTTTCCTTTCTGATTGCCATGGCTAGGACTTCTAAAACTATTTTGAATAAAAGTGGTGAGAGTGGGCATCTTTTTCTTGTTCCTGATCTTAGAGGAAACGCTTTCAGTTTTTCACCATTGACTATGATGTTAGCTGTGGGTTTGTCATATATGGCCGTTATTATGTTGGACTTACTGACTTGCTTTTTTTTTTTTTTTCCGGTACGCGGGCCTCTCACTGCTGTGGCCTCTCCCGTCGCGGAGCACAGGTTCCGGACGCACAGGCCCAGTGGCCATGGCTCACGGGCCTAGCTGCTCCGCGGCCTGTGGGATCCTCCCGGACCAGGGCACGAATCAGCGTCCCCCGTATCGGCAGGCGGACGCTCAACCCCTGCGCCACCAGGGAAGTCCTTACTGACTTGCTTTTAACAGTTTCCTTTAATATAATTAAGATGAGGCAAGAGTCATGCCGGCTTTCTTCCTGCTGTATTCCCAGAATCTACCACAGAGGCAGATCCACCAAACATGCTCCATAAGTACTTGTTGGATGGCTAATTGAACTTCCACTCTCGCTTATAAATTTAATCTCCACAAAAAATTCATTTGAAAAACACTTTGAAAATTAATTTAGAAATACTGGAATTCATTTCCTTCTCATTTCTTTTCATGAATTAATTTATTAACACATGCTTACTGGAAAAGCATATTAATTAAGTGTTTAAAGGTAAAGAAATACAAATCAGAAGAAAGGACTCAAATTCTGGCCACATTATATATTATCTAAGTGACCTTGGCAATTAATTTATTGCTTCCAGCTTCAGACCTCTCATTTATAAAATGGGATAAAAGCTCTTATCTTCAGGGGTTTTATTGAGAGTGAAATGGATACCATATGCAAAGTTAGGGCCTGGCACTGATTGGTGGTTCTTAAATAATATTATCAAGTGTGTAGGATTCTGTGTTAGGATCCAAATATGAATAAGACAAAGTCGCCTGAGACGTTTACAAATTAGTCCTGGGAAAGAAAACATTAATAAAAATAATATCAGTATCAGTAGCGTAACAAAGGCACGAGAAAAGCATAGAAGAGGCTGTTTTAAAATATGTTTTATTATTATTCAGGTCATCAGATCAGGAGATAACTGCCATTGAAAAGATAGCTTGTTTTACTGACAGATTACCAAGAAAAGGATCACACCACACCACAGGGCAGTAAGGGCACATGGGAAGCACTGGGTTTTTCAGGAGGGTGGGGCAGGTGAGTGGGCAGGAGCCTTTACTCAAACTTCCCAGGGGTTTTCCATGGGAAGGGGTGGGGAGACAGGATAAGCAGGTTTAGGATAGGCTAGTTTGAATAATTTCAGTGGGCTCTGGGGTGTAGGGACTGTCCCTAGTTGTCTGGTACCTGCCTGGGCCTGGGGGTTATTGAGGCAGGTGGACAGTGGCCCAGTGGGGGACAAGGGCTCCCTGAAGGAGGTGGTTGGCAGTGTGGGCTCTGGATTGGTTGGTTTGCATATGAAAAGTACACTCCCAGGTGAGCCATTTGCTATCTCTAGGAATTAGCTAGCCCTGGGAGGGGCAGTCCCTCCAAGGTCAGCAAGCCTCTAAAATGTCAAAGCATCAGAAATATGGAATAAAAAGACATGACTAATACCTGGGCTCAGAATGCAGGAAGCATGGGTGTAGCCAAGTCTGAGTCTCTTTTCAGGTCTGACTGTACCCCCAGTTCTCTTGTTCTTTACAATCAGAGCACCCTATTAGCTTCTTCATAGGACTTACTACTAGTTCTTATTTGTTTATCTGTTTATTGTCCGTTTATCCCATACACTGTCAGCTCCACAAAAGCAAGAAATTTGCTTGCCTCATTTACTATTCCAGTCTTAGTTCCTGACAGTGTCAGGCACAGAGCAGATGCTCAATAACTATTTGTTGAAGAAAAGAAATGAAAACAGTAGTGCTTGAAGGTTATGTGATGTCTGTCTGTTCACGTGCACATATTACTGTTCATATATGTGTAAGCATGTGGACATTTGTGTTTGTGAGTGTGACAGAGAGAGAGAGAGAGAGAGAGAGAGTGTGTGTGGGTGTGTGTGTGTGTGTGTGTGTTTTGCATGGAGGAGGTTCTAGCCTTTAGTCTAAGCCATCCATGTTTACTACCAGGTTTTGGTCAAGACGATGTCTGGTTGACTATTAGATGGGCCCACCAGAGATCTATTAGCACTTCCTGGGAAAGAACTGAGGTCTGAGGAACTTCCTGGGAAAGAACTCACCTCCAGGACCAGCAGACAAGCTGGAGACAGTGCCACACACTTCAGGGATAGAAAGGGAGAAGCATCCGTGTGTGTGTATTGCTCTATTTCTCTTGGATTGGTCCAGCTCCTTGTGGACTCATAACTTGGCAGTTGTGAGAGAGAGGCTGTTTCCAAACAGAAATATCTATTTTTTGCCAAAAGCTCTACTATATTTTAGTATGCTGTGTTAGTCAGAACATAGTCAGAAAGTCAAAACCATGCCAGTTGATCAAACAGGAAAAATTTAACTTGAAGGATAATTTACAGGATGCTAGAAAGGCAGTTAAAGCAACCAGGGGAAAGGCGAGTCAACTCTGAGATTAGAAAGTGCAGGAAGCTGCTACTACTTTCCCATCCCTTTGGAGGGATAGGGAGAGCATGTTGGGCCCAGGCTGGGGCTGCACCATGGAAGCCGGATTGATGGTGGGACTGCCTGGTGTGTGTGGGACCGCAGATGAAAGGGCCTTTCTGGAAGGAGCTGGAGCCATGGAGAAGTGGCCGTCACTGCCCAAGATGTCTCCTGAAGCAGAGAGAGGGAGAAGCACCCTGATTTCTCCCTTTCTCTCCCCTCCAATCTTTCCCAGTGCCTCCCATTAGCCGATCCTAATGAGAAAGCAGTTGGCTGGGAAGTCTGGAGACCACAGTTTGTAAAACTGAGCTTCCTATAGTGCAGGGCAGAGTGGGGGACATGCACGGAGAGGATGTGAGAGCAAAATGGAAACAGCCAGCAGAGATGAGGGCAGTACAGTTTTCGTACCCTATAGAAAGGTCATAACATAAAAATAAAGGATGGCATCAACTCACCACCACTTTACCACACACAACCTTGGCCCTGTGAGAGTTCTGGAACATCAACATCCCTGGCTAGGTGATAGTTCCCCAGGACAAACTGAAGCCGTCTCTGTCAGAGAAAGCAGTAGAAGGGCAGGATTGCGTATGTGTGGCAGTAATACATGATTTCCTCCATGCAGTTTATAATGTAGCAGAAAAATAAAGAAATGGCAGTTATAACTCGGTAATGTACAGAAATGAATAGCAGGTGACACTTGTTAGGTGTTAATATTGGTTTGGTACAGTTATATCCTGGGTCTACATAATTACATTAAATCCTCATAACAATACCACACCCTCAAGTGGGGCCCCAACTCCTGGCCTTGCACCTAGAGGGGACTATGCCTTGACATATCTTCCTCACAATGTTCTGAGTACCCCTTCAGTGGCAGGGGGAGGCTGGGGCCAGCAATGTCATTTGGTCAGGGAGCTCCGAGCTGGGACTGGGATCCACCTGGACCCTGGATCTTATTTCTCCCCTTCAAGTGTCATTCTTTCTCTCTTTCCGGTACCAGATACCCCAAGGAAGGCTAAGACTTGGGCTTACAAATAGGGTCATCCTAGGGCCCCATGGCTGAGTCCTGGTTGCAGTAGGGCAGCCTTGCAAGCAGATTGTTCCTGTGGTCAACACAATATTTCTTTTGCATGATTACAAGGGACTGGACTGCCAGAAGGGTTCTGACATGCATATTTTGGTGACCCAAGTTGTTAATATAGATGGGGTGTTGTAAAAAAGTTTTTTTTTCTCAGGGTCACACACCTTTGAGACCATCTTGCTGTTAGCTGTTAAATGTCCCATTTTAGATGAGGAGAACAATACTACAGAATAAAATACGTGAAATCAAAGGTTACACAAAGAGTAAATATTGAATCCCAGGTTTTTAAAAAGGCATTTTGATTTTCGATCCTGAGCTATATGAGAGCACAGAGAAGGCATAACCCTGGGTGTTCCCCAAATAATTGGGAGACACTAGAAATGGTAGATCTTGCCATAGTAGATGTGTGAACAGGTATGGGGTGGGTGGAGGTAAATTCCAGAGAAATGTGGCACTAAATGCCAGTAAGCTGAGTCTGTATTATTTCAGGGCTAAAGGGATGTCGGGATTACTCCTACAACTGGCGAGCTCATCAGTTAATGTGTTTCTCCAAACTTCAATAGGAAACTGGAGGAAAGCAACAGAATTTTCTCTCTCTTTAATCCCAATATGAAACCTTCCCTTCTTTTCAGAGTTCTTCCAGAAGGACTTTTAGAGCTCTTTGCTTCCCACCCGCAACTCTGTGTAAGAGCTTATGCAAGAGATCCTTGAGAGTGTTTTAAGATAGGGCTTTGTTTCTCATGGGAACATGAGGGAAAACGGAAAAAACCTCCAATTTGTTTAGTGAGAAAACATGACCTCCATGCTTTTCTTCCCTGGGGCGAGTCAAGTGGTCGTGACTGAAATTCAGGTCCCTGTTTGGTGTATAAATATGGGTGTGTGCAAAAGCCACTGCCACACTTGGTACAGCAAGGGGAACCACTGGCTCGGTGGACTCATTAGGTTTTCCAGTTTAATCTTAAACTCCAAGTAAATATCACAGATAACGTACAATGAAGCTGGTCACTGTGTTCTTGCTGGTGACCATCAGCATTTGCAGTTACTCTGGGAACATATGATATTTCTCTATTTTTCTGTTAACAGGAACACAACTATTAAGCCTAGGCTCCCAGTGGAATATGGTGGAGGGAGTTTTAGATCCACAGAATAGCAAGGTCAGAAGGGACTTCAGATGCCTGCTGCTCCCAGCTCCAAGCTCTAACCCAGTACAAGTACCATCCCTGGTGTATCCTACAAAGAAGTTAACCAGCTACCACAGAGGTTCAACAAACGCACTTCATTATTGAACTTTGGCCACCATTAATTTTCCTTAATTTTGAGTTAAGATCTGATTTTGTGACTTCTTTATTTTATGTTTCTGAAACTATATGGAGTCATTCTTGCTATCATCTCTAATCAGATTGCAGCGTTGGTTCTCTTGAGACATAGCTACATTTATCTGTTCACAAAATCAATGGGTATTTGCTGAATGGCTATAAGCTGTTGGTCACTGGATAGGCATTCGAAGATTCAGACCTGAATCAGACATAAATATTGTTCTCAAGGTTCTTGTAGTCTAGCAAGGGAGAGAAGACTTCTACAGAAGTCACTGCTGTACTAGACCAGTCATTAATGCACAATGACAATACAGTTAGAGCTCTGTGGGAGAGCTGAGGGGTGAACAGTTCCATTTCTAGGTAGCGTATAGAGTCTGATTTCTTGGAGGAGAATGGAAACTGATCCTTTCTTTTTGGAGGGAGTCGTATAGGAAGAGATATTTGGGCGCATCTGCAAAATCCATCATAATGGCCACTGCTCATTTGGAGAACAAAAAGCTTTGAGGGTCTCCCCCGTGGAATATGTAAGTACATACAAGGAAGACACTCACCAAAGTGTTGAAAATAAGAAGTACGGAGATTAATCGTGAGAAACTGTGTGATACCCCTGCCTACACTGGCAACTTTGGCTTGTGAATGTTTTTTGAATTTTTGAACTGATTTGTAACTTCACCAGTTTTGGCTATTTTGTTGTCCTTTAGTGTCTAAGGACACATGGGAAGACGTGGCGGCAGAAAGATGGGTGTAGGGGAAATAAATATCCCCCTTCTGGGGGAGAGTTTTGGAGGGAAAATGGGTGGTAGAAGAAAATGGGTGGTAGAAGATGAAGTGCACAAGCTCCATTTTGAAGATCTGAATGGGAAAATAAAAAGTATTACAAAGAGAATGAAATACTGGCAGGGTCTTAGCCAGCAGGAGGATGTGTGTCTTATGTGTGTGCTTCTGCATGTATGTATTTATACATACGCAAATGTGTTTTGTAAAAATATGTATCATAAGCATTTTCCTCATTCTCTAACCTCTTCTGTGTGAAAGTTATCTTTCTAAAGCTGAAGATATAAAAATGCAATTATTCCATATAACAGCCTTGATAGCTCCCCATTACCCTTGGGAAAAAAAATCTCAAACTCATCTGTATGACATTCAAGGCTTTGAAAATCCGCCCCACCTAAGTTGCAGCCTAACCTTCTTTATCCCTCCTTAGCACACCACACTGGAATTCTGAAGAAGACTCACCATCCTGTGTATGCACTTTCACCTTAATATCTCAATGCCTTGGTTAATTTTGTTCCTCTTTAAAATGCTGCTCCCCTTATCTACCTGTGATCCTGGCATTTGCCTCAAGACACATCTCCTGCAACATCTGTTCTTGGAAGATTCCTGTAACATTCTCCTAGGTTAGAATTAATCATCACTTCTTTTGTGTTTCCATAGAGCTTTGTCCATAATATTAACATAGCACATGCTGCACTGTGGCATACACAAATCTTTATTGTCCACCAGACTGTGTGAGTTCTCTGATTTATTCATCTGTGTATCTGTTTTATTCATCTGTGTATCTGCACCAACTGGCAGAGTCTGTGTTCACTTATGTTTGTAGCATTGAGTTGGACTGGTTGGGAGCAGTTTCCTGGGCTGTGGTTGGGTCCTTTCACGTCTCCAAGTGGAGGTTCATTATGGCATCTTCCCTTTGGTTTCAAGCTTGTGGGCTATGGAGACAGCCACATGCAAACTATACTCCCATCTAGTCAATCACCAGTATCTTTTGAGTGCTTACTATATGCCCGGGTCTGTCCTAGGCATGGGTGGTGGTAGTGAATAAAACTCAAATTTCTTATTCTCTTGGATCCTACATACTAGTGAGAGGATGAAGGCAAAGTAAAGAAATGAATAAAGATTTAATACTTTAAGTAGGGGTAAGAAAAAATAAAGATAGAGGGTGACGGGTGATACCATTTTAGATACATCTCTGAGAATGTAACATCTGAGGAGAGACCAAATAAGGAAGGAAGAAAGGCATGTAGTTATCTGGGGAAAGAAAGTTCTAGAGAGATGGATTGGGAGGGGCAAAGGTCCGAAAGCAGATGTTTTCTTGAGAAATCAAGATGAGTAGGGCTGGAGTGGAGCCATTGATGGAGAGAGTGGAAGGTGGTGAGGTCATAGGAACTGGAATTGCCTTGTTTTACCTGGGATCTCTTTTGCTCCGCAGCTACCGCCTTCCTGATCAACAGTTTGCCACTTCCTGTCAACAAGGCTTTACCTTCACCTCTGGACAATGTTCTCCCCGTCATGGACCTACTTAAGCTTCTTCTGAAAACTCTGGGCATTTCTGTTGAGCACCTTGTGGAAGGGCTAAGGAAGTGTGTGAGTGAGCTGGGACCAGAGGCCATGAAGAAACTGCTGGTAACTACAGCTTGTGGGGCTGACTCATCAAAGGGCAGGGCTTAGTCACCGTGAGCGCCCACCCTCTCCACCCACTCCCACCCCACCTTGTTCTCATTTGTGAACCTGTATTTCCCCCTTGCTTACTGTACTCATACACATTTTACATGTCCTGGAATCTCAAGGAAAGGGCAATATCCACAGTTCTAGAAGGAATTTTTGAATGAGGGAGACGTATGCTAGTTGTGAAATGTGTGCCACCTCCCAGCTTTGTGATTCTGGTTGGGACTTAACCACTCTGAGCTTTTGTTTCTTTGTAAGTAAAATGGTAGCGAAATAGGATAGTGACGATTTTTGGAGATGTGCTAATGATATGTAAGCTGCTCTTATTTTTAATATTGCCTTTTTGACTTTCAGGAGGCACTCTCATATTTGGTGTCACAGCAGAAAAAAGCAAGAGTGGAGGAGGGAGGGAGATGATGCTCCTCCTCCCTGGCTGAAACTCCTTCCATCCTAAAATTCAGTGACCCCTGAAAAGAATGAATAAAACAATGAACAGACTTTAGTTTGTCCTATTTTTATTTGGGAAGCTCTATTCAGAAGGGCCTAACTAGATAATTTTTTCTTTGTGTTATAAACTCTAGAGAGCCTGTTGTTATAAAGACAGCTCGCATTTTCAGTAAGGAGTAATGATTTTTTTCCACCTCCTTATCTCTAACTTGAATGTCTCCATTTTCTTCAACTGGTGTTTATCTGACAATGTTTCCAGATGCCTTACGTTCCTAATCCCCTACTTCTAAAGAATTTCTTTTTCATCTTTATTGGAGTACAATTGCTTTCCAATGGTGTGTTAGTTTCTGCTTTATAACAAAGTGAATCAGTTATACATATGTTCCCATATCTCTTCCCTCTTGCGTCTCCCTCCCTCCCACCCTCCCTATCCCACCCCTCTAGGTGGTCACAAACCACCGAGCTGATCTCCCTGTGCTATGCGGCTGCTTCCCACTAGCTATGTATTTTATATTTGGTAGTGTATATATGTCCATGCCACTCTCTCACTTTGTCACAGCTTACCCTTCCCCCTCCCCATATCCTCAAGTCCATTCTCTATAGTAGGTCTGTGTCTTTATTCCGGTCTTACACCTAGGTTCTTCATGACATTTTTTTTTTCTTAGATTCCATATATATGTGTTAGCATACGGTATTTGTCTTTCTCGTTCTGACTTACTTCACTCTGTATGACAGACTCTATGTCTCTCCACCTCACTACAAATAACTCAATTTCGTTTCTTTTTATGGCTGAGTAATATTGCATTGGTATATATGTGCCACATCTTCTTTATCCATTCGTCCGATGATGGACACTTAGGTTGCTTCCATCTCCTGGCTATTGTAAATAGAGCTGCAGTGAACATTGTGGTACATGACTCTTTTTGAATTATGGTTTTCTCAGGCCCAGTAGTGGGATTGCTGGGTCATATGGTAGTTCTATTTGTAGTTTTTTAAGGAACCTCCATCCTGTTCTCCATAGTGGCTGTACCAATTCACATTCCCACCAGCAGTGCAAGAGTGTTCCCTTTTCTCCACACCCTCTCCAGCATTTATTGTTTCTAGATTTTTTGATGATGGCCATTCCGACCGGTGTGAGATGATATCTCATTGTAGTTTTGCTTTGCATTTCTCTAATGATTAATGATGTTGAGCATTCTTTCATGTGTTTGTTGGCAGTCTGTATATCTTCTTTGGAGAAATGTCTATTTAGGTCTTCTGCCCATTTTTGGATTGGGTTGTTTATTTTTTTGGTATTGAGCTGCATGAGCTGCCTGTAAATTTTAGAGATTAATCCTTTGTCAGTTGATTCATTTGCAAATATTTTCTCCCATTCTGAGGGCTGTCTTTTGGTCTTGTTTATGGTTTCCTTTGCTGTGCAAAAGCTTTGAAGTTTCATTAGGTCCCATTTGTTTATTTTTGTTTTTATCTCCATTACTCTAGGAGATGGGTCAAGAAGGATCTTGCTGTGATTTATGTCATAGAGTGTTCTGCCTATGTTTTCCTCTAAGAGTTTGATAGTTTCTGGCCTTACATTTAGGTCTTTAATCCATTTTGAGCTTATTTTTGTGTATGGTGTTAGGGAGTGATCTAATCTCATACTTTTACATGTACCTATCCAATTTTCCCAGCACCACTTATTGAAGAGGCTGTCCTTTCTCCACTGTATATTCCTGCCACCTTTATCAAAGATAAGGTGACCATATGTGCATGGGTTTATCTCTGGGCTTTCTATCCTATTCCATTGATCTATCTTTCTGTTTTTGTGCCAGTACCATACTGTCTTGATTACTGTAGCTTTGTAGTATAGTCTGAAGTCAGGCAGCCTGATTCCTCCAGCTCCATTTTTTGTTCTCAAGATTGCTTTGGCTATTCGGGGTCTTTTGTGTTTCCATACAAATTGTGAAATTTTTTGTTCTAGTTCTGTGAAAAATGCCAGTGGTAGTTTGATAGGGATTGCATTGAATCTATAGATTGCTTTGGGAAGTAGAGTCATTTTCACAATGTTGATTCTTCCAATCCAAGAACATGGTATATCTCTCCATCTGTTTGTATCATCTTTAATTTCTTTCATCAGTGTCTTATAATTTTCTGCATACAGGTCTTTTGTCTCCTTAGGTAGGTTTATTCCTAGATATTTTATTCTTTTTGTTGCAATGGTAAATGGGAGTGTTTTCTTGATTTCACTTTCAGATTTTTCATCATTAGTATATAGGAATGCCAGAGATTTCTGTGCATTAATTTTGTATCCTGCTACTTTACCAAATTCATTGATTAGCTCTAGTAGTTTTCTGGTAGCATCTTTAGGATTTTTTTTTTTTAACATCTTTATTGGGGTATAATTGCTTTACAATGGTGTGTTAGTTTCTGCTTTATAACAGAGTGAGTCAGTTATACATATATATATGTTCCCATATCTCTTCCCTCTTTGTCTCCCTCCCTCCCACCCTCCCTATCCCACCCCTCCAGACAGCCACAAAGAACCGAGCCGGTTTCCCTGTGCCATGCGGCTGCTTCCCACTGGCTATCTACCTTACGTTTGTTAGTATATATATGTCCATGTCTCTCTCTCGCCCTAACACACCTCACCCTTCCCCCTCCCCATATCCTCAAGTCTGTTCTCCATAGGTCTGTGTCTTTATTCCGGTCTTACACCTAGGTTCTTCATGACATTTTTTTTTTCTTAGATTCCATATATATGTGTTAGCATACGGTATTTGTCTTTCTCGTTCTGACTTACTTCACTCTGTATGACAGACTCTATGTCTCTCCACCTCACTACAAATAACTCAATTTCGTTTCTTTTTATGGCTGAGTAATATTGCATTGGTATATATGTGCCACATCTTCTTTATCCATTCGTCCGATGATGGACACTTAGGTTGCTTCCATCTCCTGGCTATTGTAAATAGAGCTGCAGTGAACATTGTGGTACATGACTCTTTTTGAATTATGGTTTTCTCAGGCCCAGTAGTGGGATTGCTGGGTCATATGGTAGTTCTATTTGTAGTTTTTTAAGGAACCTCCAACCTTTTCTCCATAGTGGCTGTACCAATTCACATTCCCACCAGCAGTGCAAGAGTGTTCCCTTTTCTCCACACCCTCTCCAGCATTTATTGTTTCTAGATTTTTTGATGATGGCCATTCTGACCGGTGTGAGATGATATCTCATTGTAGTTTTGCTTTGCATTTCTCTAATGATTAATGATGTTGAGCATTCTTTCTTGTGTTTCTTGGCAATCTGTATATCTACTTTGGAGAAATATCTATTTAGTTTTCTGCCAATTTTTGGATTGGGTTGTTTGTTTTTTTGTTATTGAGCTGCATGAGCTGCTTGTAAATTTTGGAGATTAATCCTTTTTCAGTTACTTCATTTGCAAATATCTTCTCCCATCCTGAGGCTGTCTTTTGGTCTTGTTTATGGTTTCCTTTGCTGTGCAAAAGCTTTGAAGTTTCATTAGGTCCCATTTGTTTATCTTTGTTTTTATTTCCATTTCTCTAGGAGGTGGATCCAAAAGGATCTTGCTGTGATTTATGTCATAGAGTGTTCTGCCTATGTTTTCCTCTAAGAGTTTGATAGCTTCTGGCCTTACATTTAGGTCTTTAATCCATTTTGAGCTTATTTTTGTGTATGGTGTTAGGGAGTGTTCTAATCTCATACTTTTACATGTAGCTGTCCAGTTTTCCCAGCACCACTTATTGAAGAGGCTGTCCTTTCTCCACGGTACATTCCTGCCTCTTTTATCAAAGATAAGGTGACCATATGTGCATGGATTTATCTCCGGGCTTTCTATCCTGTTCCATTGATCTATATTTCTCTTTTTGTGCCAGTACCATACTGTCTAGATTACTGTAGCTTTGTAGTACAGTCTGAAGTCAGGGAGCCTGATTCCTCCAGCTCTGTTTTTCATTCTCAAGATTGCTTTGGCTATTCGGGGTCTTTTGTGTTTCCATACAAATTGTGAAAATTTTTGTTCTAGTTCTGTGAAAAATGCCAGTGGTAGTTTGATAGGGATTGCATTGAATCTGTAGATTGCTTTGGGTAGTAGAGTCATTTTCACAATGTTGATTCTTCCAATCCAAGAACATGGTATATCTCTCCCATCTATTTGTATCATCTTTAATTTCTTTCATCAGTGTCTTATAATTTTCTGCATACAGGTCTTTTGTCTCCTTAGGTAGGTTTATTCCTAGATATTTTATTCTTTTTGTTGCAATGGTAAATGGGAGTGTTATCTTAATTTCACTTTCAGATTTTTCATCATTAGTGCATAGGAATGCCAGCAATTTCTGTGCATTAATTTTGTATCCTGCTACTTTACCAAATTCATTGATTAGCTCTAGTAGTTTTCTGGTAGCATCTTTAGGATTCTCTATATATAGTATCATGTCATCTGCAAAGAATGACAGCTTTACTTCTTCTTTTCTGATTTGGATTCCTTTTATTTCCTTTTCTTCTCTGATTGCTGTGGCTAAAACTTCCAAAACTATGTTGAATAATAGTGGTGAGAGTGGGCTACCTTGTCTTTTTCCTGATCTTAGTGGAAATGGTTTCAGGTTTTCACCCTTGAGGACGATGATGGCTGTGGGTTTGTCATATATGGCCTTTATTATGTTGAGGAAAGTTCCCTCTATGCCTACTTTCTGCAGGGTTTTTATCATAAATGGGGGTAGAATTTTGTCAAAAGCTTTCTCTGCATCTATTGAGATGATCATATGGTTTTTCTCCTTCAATTTGTTAATATGGTGTATCACGTTGATTGATCTGTATATATTGAAGAATCCCTGTATTCCTGGAATAAACCCAACTTGATCATGGTGTATGATCCTTTTAATGTGCTGTTGGATTCTGTTTGCTAGTATTTTGTTGAGGATTTTTGCATCTATGTTCATCAGTGATATTGGCCTGTAGTTTTCTTTCTTTGTGACAT